AAGACCTACAAATAGAAATAGAAAGACTGTGGCAAAAGCAAGCAAGGGTAGTACCAATAGTAATAGGCGCCTTGGGTGCAATCCCAAAACAACTGGAGCACCACTTGAACACCATTGGCATTGACAAATTCGCCATTAGTCAATTGCAAAAGGCGGCCTTACTAGGAACTGCTTCCATCCTGCGACGATATCTGTAATAACATCAAACATCCACATCTGCCTATCCCAGGTCCTTGGTAAGGACTCGATAGGTAGACAAAATGCCAAATCCAGTCTAAACATCTGGTTGACTGTGCGATGATCCATAATAATAATAATAGTAATAGAGTTGGAAGGAATCTTGGAGGTCTTCTAGTCCAACCTCCTGCTCAGGCAATAAATGGTTGTCCAGTCTCATCTTAAAAGCTTCCAGTGTTGGAGCATTCACAACTTCTGGAAGCAGGTTGTTCCACTGATTAATTGTTCTAACTATCAGGAAATTTCTCCTTAGTTCTAGGTTTCTTCTCTGATTAGTTTCCATCCATTGCTTCTTGTCCGGCCTTCAGGCGCTTTGGAGAATAGCTTGACTCCCTCTTCTTTGTGGCAGCCCCTGAGATATTGGAACACTGCTATCATGTCCCCCCTCATCCTTCTCTTCATTAAACTAGATATACCCAATTCCAGTAACCGTTTGTGTATATGTTTTAATCTCCAGTCCCCTAATCATCTTTGTTGCTCTTCTCTGTACTCTTTCTAGAGTCTCAACATCTTTTTTACATGGTGGTGACCAAAACTAGATGTATTGTTCCATGTGTGGCCTTACCAAGGCGTTATAAAGTGGTATTAAAGTGGTTTTTCTTGATTTTTCCTGCTCCAAATGTGATTAATTTTTCTAGTACTTCATAAGGCTTGTTTTGGAAGCTCTCCATGTAAGGAATATATTTGCTCTCTTTGAATGAATCCAAAGCAGATAAAAAGTGTGTTTATTTACCATACTAAGCTAAGCTAAATCTTCAAATGGAGCCTGTTGGAAGTTACAAGACTGAAATTTGCTATTTTTATCATATATTGTTGTGGAATGTTTTATATAAAAGACACTCTGTATAAACCTAGGGGGAGCTGACTCATTCTGCTTACAGACCAGGCTTGGAACATTATATTGTTGATCTCTAGAAGTGAGCGCTGAATCATTAAGCCTAGTAGGTGTTTATCCAATCTTCATATAAAAGCAGAGCAACAGCAGTATATTAGAGAAAGTAAGTTGGGTCTCTGAAAGAATCTTTGTATTGTCTGAGGAATGATTGGCTTAAATTACTGCAGCAGCATGATCAAACAGCTTTGCCAGGATCTTCCCAGTGTCTGTAGCTGCATATGCTACAGGATTTCATGTGGGTTATTATAGGTTGAAAGCTGAATTAAGATCCTATGAGTCATTACTCAGCACAAACAGGTAATCCCCGAGTTACAAGCATTCACTTAACACTTGTTCGAAGTTACGTGATAAGCGCCCCTTAGTGCTTATGAGCAAGTCCCGAAATTATGAATATTGCAGCACCATGGCAGTCGTTCACCCTTACGAGTGACCACAGAGGCTCTGCAACATTCACCCTGGTTATTCTCTTCCTCCCCACCCCCACCCCGGGTCTCCCTAGGCACCAGACCTTTAATACTCACCCTGTGAAGTTCGAGATCCTTCAATTTCTTGGCTGCTCCAGGCCTTCGGTGCATTCTCAGAGAATGGAGGCCTAAGAGAAGGCCTGGAGAAGGCCTCTGGTGCCCGGATTGGGCCACCGGAGGGCCATGAAAGCATCCCCCGGCCTTAGATCCAGGCGGCAGTGGCCTGGAAAAGGCCTCTGGCACCCAGATTGGGCCACCACAGGGCCGCGGAAGCATCCCCCAGCATCAGATCCGGGCAGCAGTGGCCTGGAAAAGGCCTCCGATGCCCTAATCCAGCCTCCGGAGGCACACGGAAACATCCCCCAGCCTCAGATCCGGGTGGCAGCAGGAACCATGGCAGAGAGGAGACAGATCTTTTCAAGTTGAGTCCAGCACAGCAGGAAGGAAGGGGGAAGTATGAGGTATCTTAGTGGGTCGGGGAGTCCTTGGAGTCCTGTTACATCACTAGGCCCTCCATGGCCTTCCCCACTCTAAGATACCTCATGTTCATTTAACGAGCTGCATGCGTCTTAATGAGCAAGGGAGTGATCTCTTCACTTCCACAAGTTTTCGAGTCACAAGTGGAATGGGCAGGCTCCATTACACTCATAACTCAAGGTCTACCTGTTCTTAGGAATGATTCAAACTAAGTAGGTTCTGTGTGAGTTGGGTCATCTGAAACATAAATATGCTCCATTATTGTCTTTGCATTATTTACTTACTTCCTGAATACCACTGCGAGTATTCTTAAATATATCACAGCTAATTGTAACATTTTTGTTACTAAGATGTCCCCATCACCCCTAATTCATAAATTATAGAAACTGGAGTTGCTAAATTTGAGAAAGTTTAAGTGGATGATATAGCTATTGAAAATCTCTGGGTCACAAATAAGAAGCAATGTGTAAAGTAATGACTTTATTTGCTTTGAGGAAATCATTTTGGGATGCTAGGATTGGATATATTTGTAATCATTAAAGTGAGGCAAAGCTAAATATGGAGAAGAGTAGAATTTGTACTTCTTTTTTGTCTTTCTTTCTGTTTCTCTTTCTCCTTGACTGTCTCTCTCATACATATGCACACACCTGCATACACAGTAGCTAGGTCCCATTGTATTTGTATAGAGCTTTCTAAATATATTCCATTCTTGAATTTTTGGAATTTTTAGTATCTAATAGAAAATAGTATTTCCCTCTACCTATCATCCTCCTGCTAGGCAATTACTTAGAAAAAACAGTGGATTCTTTTACTTTCTAAGAAACCTGACACCTTCAATTTTCCTGCTTAATTATAGCTATTAATAAGTGAAAATGAGCATGGTATTTATAACAAGAGCACAGGGAGTAGGTATGAATATGTAATACTGTCTTATTTGGCACAAAATGTACTTTCAATTTATGTTAGATCAGCAATAATTCCACAGTCTCAGGCAAAGGTACTTCTCATGTTCTGGTTCTTAAGGGGCTAAGGATTGAATTTGGGACATTAAACATGCAAAATATGTGCTTGGCAAATGAGCATCATTCCCAGCCTCATATAAGCATTTAAATATGTCTCTATACTTGAATTTCACCCTGAACTATTCAATCTGCCTCTAAATACTGAATATTTAAGATTATATTTTATGAACAATGGGTCCACTTGCTGTTGTAGACCAATATGTTCTCCAAATATGACTCTAAAATATTATTCTGTTAAGGAGAATCTTAATTTTCTATTAAGATTATTTTGAAACATAAAATAAAAAATAATATCACAACAAGCCAATGTATGATTGTTCTTAGCTGACAGTGCCGGCTGGCGACCCCAAGGGGGAGGGCCTTCTCTGTGGGAGCTCCCACCCTCTGGAATGAGCTGCCCCCAGAGATCAGGGTGATCCCTGATCTCCCTTCCTTCCGCCGCGCCCTTAAGACATGGCTATTCCAACAAGCAGGACTGGCCTAGGGTAATTTTTTAGAGGGGTTTTAATTATATTTTAATCAGACAACATTTAAATATTTCTTTTTAACTAATTTTAAATTTTGTAATTGTTTTTGGTGTATTTTAAATTGATTGTCAGCCGCCCTGAGTCCGCAAGGAGAAGGGCGGGATATAAATTCAAATAAATAAAATAAATAAATAAATAAACTGATTTTAGTACTGAATTTGGGTTCAAAACAAGTTACTGGCTACTCAATTTATTATTTCTTTATTTTTACTGACAAGAAAGAGGAGAAATATTTCTGGAATTTTCTGCTCAGATACCAGTAATAACTTGGCTTACCTTATGTGTTGGTATCTTGATTGAGGAGGAGGCATAGCATCTGTTCTTCCTTGTCATGCAGCTTGGGAGAATCCTGCTTATCATTTATAGAGATGACATGCATCATCTACAATCATGACTTTTTTTAAAAACACTTTTTTAAAAAACACTTTTCTCCAGAGATGCCTACCTGTGGCATAGAGGTGGGTATCAACACATCTCCAGGTATGTTGTTGCTTGCTCTTTGGTTTGGTAGAAATAAGCTACACCAAAACACTAGAGGCTAAATATACCTGTGGGATTAATAGTAATGCATACTATGGTGACATTGAATAAAGTGTGGTTGCAGTTTTTTCCCCATATTATAATGGCTGCCCATGATTATAATGCAAATTTCATTTGTATTGTTCTCCTAGCTAAAGAGACATACAGATTAAATATCTTCTTTTGTATTGTGTTTCAGCTCACAGTACACAGAGAAGGATAGTTTATTATTCAAGTAATTCCAGCTGGTGCATGTCTGAGAAAAATGTGAGGTGGTACGTCACAAAATATAGGTAGTCCTTACAACAGTTCATTTAGTGACCATTCAAACTTAACAAAAACACTGAAAAAAGTGACTTATGACCATTTTTCATACTTACGACCATTGCAGCATCCTCATGGTTATGTGATCAAAATTGACTCATTTTATGATGGTTGCAGTGTCCCAGGGTCATTTGATCACCTTTTGTAACCTTCTAACAAGGAAAGTAAGTAGGAAAGCCAGATTCACTTCACCATATTACTAATATAACAACTACAGTGGTTCACTTAACAACTGTGGCAAGAAAGGTCATGAAATGGGGCAAAACCCATTTAACAAATTACTCACTTAGCAACAGAAATTTTGGGCTCAATTGTGGTTGAAAGGTAGGGACCGCCTGTATTTTATATTGGCTATTCCTTTTCTGATTTCTTGTTAATGGGTTATAAATTAAAGCTAAGATGCAGATTTATTCAGTAATCAATTTGATCCTGAAGTTTTTATCTGCCCCTGTTATGAATTTTGAAAAATCCTTGAAATGGCTTCACTTTCTAAAGTATTCTTTTTTTCTCTACAGATAATCTAATCAAAGCCATCTTGTCAGTAACAAAGAATTACCACCTTACTTCAACCCTTGACAGGTGAGTAGATTTCCTAGTCCTGGCCTGTGAGATATACAGTATGTATTGCTTCAGAATTAATAAGGATAGAGAAGAGTTCCTATTACAGCTCTTGGAGTTTATAAAATAGATCTTTTTCTACAGCAGGTCTAATGGCATTTGGGAATGACAGTGGGAGAATGGGCCCAGTGAGGTCAGATAAGAGACAACATAGTCCACAGCTGGATAGTAGGTGGGCAACAGGCTCAGAAGGGGCCTTTCATAATTTCTTGGGGTATAAGGAGATGGACAGAGAATTCTACTTTCAGACTTATGAGGTTTTGTTAATTTTGCCTTACAATAAAGTAAAATTAACTGTTCTGGACAGATTTCCTGACTAGTTAACCTGCTAAGGCTGACAGCTTTAGAATTTGTGTTTTCTAATGGCAATTCAATCTACTTGATTGTGATCCTTTCAAAATAAGAGTACTTTCTTTCAATGTATTCTTTTAAATACATTAATTTGCCACAATTCCCCAAGTATAAATTTGTAATATTGTACAATATTTTATTTGAAGAACATAGAAAGTTTATCTTGTTCTCATTAGCCAGCCCTCTAACAAACTAACAACCCAGTTTTTATAATAGATGGATGGTAACAAGAGCTAATTATGGGATTTCTTACTACAGACCCCTAGGGCTGAGTTGGTGATGTGTATACTCCTCTTTGACTTCCATTTAGATTATGTGCATTCAATATTTTTCTGAATGATATATGCCCTGACTTCCTTGCAACCTCCAGTTACATTGGGACTTCAACTCCATCATGGTCCTGCTGTTAGACATTATGGAAGTTACTATGTGATACATCTGGCAGGTTGAAGAATGCTGTTGTACATTTAATATCAAACATGTTTAAATTTCATAGTTGTAATAAGTCCTACTTCCACATGGCCAAACTGAACACTACATTCTAGTGTTCTCTGAAATTAACTTTGTACCAAGTTTACACTTTTCTGTATTTTCCATTAATAATTGTTCTGTCAGATTTTCTCTTCTTCATCAGATATTCCTCATTTTCTAAAGCAAATGTTCATGACTTATCTTGCATTGCCAAAGACACTGAAAAATCAACATTTTGATTTGTGGAAAAAAATGTGAACAATCCACTGCATAACCAAACACTGGGATTAATTTACTGCATCTGGGGCATATTTGAGATGAAATTGAGAGAGAAAGAAATAGAAGAGATTCAGGAAGTGTGTATACAGGTGAGGAATGAAGATTGTATAAATAGCAATAAGTGACTACCAACAACAATAGTGAAATTTATGAAACAAACTAGCTTTCACATAAGCTCAATAAACCATTTTATTGATTGAACAAAACCCCTTCCGCCATTTTATGGATATGTTAAATCCCATCACCAATAATAATAATAACAACAACAACAATAACAACAACAGCAACAAAGTTGGAATGGACCTTGGAGGTCGTCTATTCCAACCCCGTGCTCAGGCAGGAAACCCTCTACCATTTCAGACAAATGGCTGTCCCGTCTCTTCTTAAAAACTTCCAGTGTTGGAGCATTCACAGCTTCTGGAGAAAGATTGTTCCACTGATTAATTGTTTTGTCAGGAAATTTCTCCTTAGTTCTAGGTTGCTTCTCTCTTTGGTTAGTTTCCATCCGTTTCTTCTTGTCCTGTCCTCAGGTGCTTTGGAGAATAGTTTGACTCCCTCTTCTATGTGGCAGCCCCTGAGCTATTGGAACACTGCTATCATGTCACCTGTCGTGCTTCTCTTCATTAAACTAGACATAGCCAATTCCAGTAACCATTTGTTTTTATGTTTTAGTCTCCAGTCCCCTAATCATCTTTGTTGCTCTTCTCTGTACTCTTTCTAGAGCCTTTTTGCATCGTGGTGACCAAAATTGGATGCAGTATTCCAAGTGTGGCCTTACCAAGGCATTGTAAAGTAGTATTAACACTTCACGTGATCTTGATTCTATCCCTCTGTTAATGCAGCCTAGAACTGTGTTGGCTTTTTTGGCAGCTGCAGCACACTACTGGCTCATATTTAAGTGATTGTCCACTGGGACTCCAAGATCCCTCTCACAGTTACTACTATTGAGCAAGGTACCACCTATACTATACCTGTGCATTTGGTTTTTCTTGCCTAAATGTAGAACATTACTTTTTTCACCATTGAATTTCATTTTGTTAGATAGCACCCAATTTTCAAGTCTGTCAAGATCCTTCTGTATCTTAAGCCTGTCTTCTGGAGTGTTGGCTATTCCTGCCAGCTTGGTGTCATCTGCAAATTTGATGAGTTCCCCGTCTATCCCCTCATCCAAATCATTGATGAAGATGTTGAAGAGCAGTGGGCCCAGAACAGAGCCCTGGGGCACCCCACTACACACTTCCCTCCATGTAGATGCAGTTTCATTGAGGACCACACAATAAATACGGCCGGTCAGCCAGCTACGAATCCATCTGGTGGTGATTCTGTCTTATTTTTCTGTCTTATCAAGTAGTAGGTTGTGATCTACTTTATCAAATGCCTTAGTGAAGTCCAATTAAATTATATCCACAGCATTCCTCTGGTCCATTACTTTTGTCACTTGGTCATAGAATGCAATAATATTTGTCTGGCATGATCTGTTTTTGACAAACCCATGTTGGCTTTTGGTAATGACTTTATTTGCCTCTAGGTATTCGCTGATTCGTTACTTGATTATCTTTTCCAAGATCTTCCCAGGTATTGAGGTCAGGCTGATAGGCTGATAGTTAGGCCACCCCAATGATGCCCTTGACGTGATGGCCCGGTGCCTGGAGGCCGTACGGGTCTGGATGGGGAGAAACAGACTCAGACTCAACCCTTCCAAGACTGAGTGGCTGTGGTTGCCGGCTCCCAGGCATAGTCAGCTGACTCCGTCGCTGACTATAGGGGGCAAAATTTTGGCTCCCTCAGAGAGGGTGCGCAATCTGGGTGTCCTCCTGGATCCATGGCTGACACTAGAAGATCAATTGACGGCCGTGGCCAGGGGGGCGTTTTACCGGGTACGCCTGGTTCGCCAGTTGCGGCCTTTTCTGGACCGGGATGCCTTGCGCACAGTTACCCACGCTCTTGTCACCTCCCGCCTGGACTACTG